TTTAAAGTATTTTACAGTATTGGTTAAGGTTTCCTTGACAACCTCATTAGATTTGAGGGCAGTAAAAAATAACAGAAAGTTTCATGTAAATAAATTCAGCTCATGGTGCATGGCAAAAAACCTTAACACAATAATTATACAAAATGTAAATTTAAATGGTATAAACTCTGAACAATGCCGGTTGGATGGTGGACTGCACTAAAAATTTGAACAGAATTTCTTTATGGATCAATATCAACTAATTTAGAATCTAAAATAGCTTGGGAAAAACAGGAAGCAATTGTTCAATTTTCAAAAATAGCACTAGAAGGGTGTATTCATTATTTTTGTCACAGATTAATGCAGCACATGTACACAGTAACTGTATGCCTATATAAGTACTTTCATACGGATCAATATTGGTTTCCTGTACAGATAATGAAATCTATATTTTTCGCAAACCGCACTTTGTAACAAAGTAAAGCATTTTATTCATGCAAACAATGTCATTTACACTATAATAAAAAATCCTGTGAGCATTATAATTTACCGTAAAAACTCTAAAATTTTACCTACTCTAAAAATTCAACCACCTAACTATTTGGCGAGTTTTTGTACTTTATTGACCTCCAAAATTTTTATCTCACCAGAAATTGCTCACTTATTTTTACTCAAACAATTTGTTTAGAGACACGACTTTCTATAACTATTCTATTTCTGCAACTTTTTATAACCAAACGTCTATATTTGTCGATTTTTTGACTCTAAAAAATTAGACTTGCTGAAAATTTATCGTTATTTAGTACTCTAAAAACCTGACTGTTTCAAAAAAAATTATTTAAAAGTGGCCGAAATTTTAGAGTTTTTACGGTAAAGTCACGAAAATTTTGGTGAAATATTTTTTTAAAAATTATTTGTTAATTTTGGACCAAATAGGCATAATTTTTCATTGACTCCATAAAGTCGGTCTTGATCAACATTTTTGCAAAAATTAGACAAATTTCCGTTGCTTCTTTTGTGAAAGATTGTAAAATTTGACACTGACGTTTAAAGAAATGAAGTTTTATCGGCCATTTTGAATTGGCTAGAATTTTTCATTGATTTATAGCATGTTTTGCAAATTTACTTTTTCAAGGTGTTCATACACAAGATTACAATTTCCATGGTTACACCTTATTCTCATCAATTCAGATGAAAAATAGTTATTGATTAAGTGCAGTAAAAATATTCTAAAACATAAAGCAATTCAGAAGTCATTAACCTTTAACCCCTATACCATAGGCGTGTCAAATTCTACTATTCCTAAAATTAAATTTAAGGAATCATGTATACCGGTAAAATAGAAAAAAAATAAAATAATAATTTTTGCAGCAACAGGTTGTTTTAGTTGAATCTGTAACTGTGAACATTTAGTACAAACTATTGGATTAAGCTATCAACTTTCCACTTAACAAAAATTATAATATTAATAGCCCAATGCAATTTAGATTCCATAAAAAAGGTGGTACAAAAAAATTCGTAACCAATCGTTTGTTTACAAACACATACAATAGTCACACAAATTAACATTTTATTTTTCACTGATTGACAATTAAAAAATCTAATGAGCATAGAAGTATCATATTTTTAATAATGAAATATACAGATAGAGAAACGAAAAACATTTATGAAATTTGCTTTCAAATAAACATGCAACTCAAAGCATTTTTTTAATTTTCATGATATGTTAATTTGCCGGCATTTGAGAGAACAAAATCGCGATAGTCTTTGTGCCTTGTGCCAATAAAATGTTCACTGCTACAAAATTGTACATATAGAAAGGTTGAGAGAAAACATTGATACAAGAATAACACACTTCTAAAGTAGAAGTGTCACTTGACTGCATGCATCATGTATTCCGAGCACTAAGCAGCCAGCCATGCCAAGTAGATATACATCTACGACTGCCCTTTGAGGAAATCCCCTCACAAACAAAAATAACTTAGCGGGGGTGGAAGGCATTTGTTTTAAAACATGTTCACTGGAAACAGTTTATAAATTTCAAGGGTATTAAATTCAGGTACACAAAGGACCGCAATTGAGTGTTATTCACGGTGCACCCACAACACACAAACACCTGTTATTTTGCTGAACCTGAAACCAGCATTCAATTCAAAAGTGCTTGTGTTATGCAAATTAATATAACCTATTGATTACAAACACAAGGGTTCAATCCTATATTAGTCCAAGATGCGAGGACTAGAACCGACTTCCATGTCGTTGGGCACTGCCAAACTTACACACTGATGCACATACCAATAAATATTACACTGAAAACTGTAACCTCTGATTATACTGAATAATTACCAAGGACTATGCGGTTACCTACCAACATTTTCTTTACACAGTATCGGTAATAATTTTTAATAATTTTTGGGCACTCATTTTCTATTCATGTTGCCAGAGTTACTAAAATGCTATTGGCAAATGTCAAAATCATTGTTGCCATGGAAACTAGTAGCATTTTGTCAATTGTTGTTTTGTTCCATTATTTAGCTGTCAAAATGTAAACAATTCAATTATTGTAATTAATTGACTTTGTTTAGGGTTAATCACAATTCACTAGGTTATTTGATAGTAGGATATTAAAGCCATAATTCCTCCTGAAAAATTGCTGGTTTAAGATTTGTTTCTATATATTTGCTAATCTAAAATATATTAAGGGTGGCCATGTACTGAACACTGTAGATTCTTTTGATTTGTTTTTTGATTTGTAGTACTGTTAAACATTCCATATTTTGCATCCTATCCTTAAATATTTGGAAATCTAAAAAAACAAATTATCATTATTATTTTTTATTTTTGACTGTATTTTTTTAACCATACAGAGAGACCATAGATTATTGGTATACTTTTAAATAAATACATTTTCAGCTTATTTTAATAAGTTATAGGCATGCTGTAATTTTTGCTGCATTGAATGTTTTTTATGATTTCTACAAAATTAAAAAATACCAATTCCAAATATCACATGATTATGCGATATTCCCAAAAAGATCAATTTAAAAACAAAGCAAGAAAGTGACACATATTTCAACCATCTTGTCAAGTTTTAATTTCCTTTACCAAACGGTTAGATCAGGAATATGTATAAATATTATGAGGATACCAGAAAGTATGTACTCTGACAGTACACTATTGCGTAGACCGTCTCTACACATCAGTTGATACTTCCACTATATTGTCTACATCAATGCATACTTTGCAATATCCTTGCAAAATAACCTCTTAATATTTTATAACTGCATATCAGTAAGTGCTGATATGTAGCAACATTTTATTGTATTTCCATATTCCCGAATTAGAAATGATGTGTTTAGTTAAAAAGGTTAGTATTAGTAGGTCAGATCAAGGTCAATGAACTTTCAATTCCAATATTTTTTGGAATGTTTTTTTTATACTCATTAAATCAATACCACTTAAGCACAATAATCAATGCTTTGCAAAGAAATATTATAAACATAACAATACTTGATAAAATTAAACCTATTCCCAAACTAACAGTGTAGGGCTATTAAACTTGGCGCTTAATGTTGGAAATAAAAAATTTTGATTTTCAATGTAAAAGTACATGGAGCTGGCAGGATAAGCGTTGATATTATTATTATACTTTATTTCAGACCTAAACGTCCATAGAGAAATTACAACAGAAATAACATTATACATTTGTTTATTAATAGCAGGATGATTACATGCAAGTTCTCTGTAGTGGTCTACTATCAAACCAACATTTTCTTAGCAATTGTCAAGCACCTAACAAGCGATACCTCTCTGAAAAAACATTTAAAATGGTGTACTATAATACCAGGTATATAAAGTAAATTAAAAAGTCCTTCAACATTTCCTAGCACTAGCTCGACACCACAGGAAGCCATTTCATTCCAGTTATCAAATAAAAATTTGATACAAATGACTATGTACCTTTTTTCAATATAACACCACAGACTGGTTTCGTTTTATTTGTGACAGAGAAAGTAATTTATTTTCTCATTCACACTTGAACTAACATGGGAATTGCAAATGAGGGATAAATGATGTCAAACAAATATGTGTCGGATGAAGTGTCACTCATTTTTGTAATAATTGATAATGGAACAATACACAGGTGACACAATTTTCTAACAGACCCTTACAAGGTGACATAGTTTCTTAGATAAGTATATTTTTTTTTAAACATGATTTTCATAAAATAGGTATAAATTACACATGTAGCAAATTAATATACTGTGAAATACTTTATTTTAGCTGGAATTAATTTTCGCTGAAAATACTTTTTGTGTGTTTTGTTTTCACTGATTTTTAAGGAGTTTAATGTAAATTATAGGAAATAAAGATATATTCGCTGGATTTTATTTTCACAATCATTCCTTCAACGAAAATAGCAAAAATTAATTCCAAGAGAAAATATTTTAAAGTATTATAATTAGTATTCATATGTATATGTAGTATTATATGCATATATCATGTATATAATATTTTTTCTAATATGTTATTATTATATATGCTGAAATTACGACATATTCTACATATTTTGTATAAAAAAATTCTATTTAGTTTTTTCTTTCTCTCTCAATTCAATGCAACTTCAATATTATACATGTCTGATCTTAATTTGACTTTGGTACCATATTTGTATCAGGTATTTAATATGTAAATTTAATGAATGCACAATACAATTTTTTCAAAAAAAAATAAATACTTCAACTGTAACTGTCACAGTAGATTGTTGCAGTGAGGTTATATGTGCTTGTTGTTGATTGGTTCTTACCTTCAGCTTGGGCTACTTTTCCACCAATCAAACACAAGGTGACAATTCCATAAAGAGTGAAAACAGTCCATTGGCTCCAGTGATGTAATCCATTTAAACTAACAGTAGCCATAGCAACCAGTGTATTCTTGCTTATCACCGCAATAGTGGCAATTTATCGATGATCCTCTAGTTCGTAGACTACGAACCGTCTCACGACTTGTATACTAATATTGACGTCTAAATTGTACTCTTAGTAAACCCATGAAGCATCTGCAAATATAATTATGATATTTCATCATGTTTCAATTGTTCTAATAAATTACTGTTGAGCACATTCCAAGCAATAGAAACCAATTAATTAAGCATTTCCGGTAACATTGACTACAAAAATAGGAAGGAATAAATTATAATTAAAAAAAAAACTGTTTAATACCAGGAAGATGATACTATGCATGTAAGTGGTCTACAACATTTGAATACAACTTTCCTGTTACCATGCAGTCTCATACATGTACATACAGTATTTATTGTATTCACGTTGCACATTTACTCATGGCTGCATGGTCATATACTGTAAAATAGTATATTCGCTGTATATTCGCTGCATTTTATTTTCACTGAATCAACCTGTCAGCGAAAATAGCGAATATTAATTCCAAGCGAAAATAAAGTATTTTACAGTAGGTTATGTAGCCATGTTTGTGTTTTCCTGGAGTAAGTTACTGTAAAGCTGAAACTGCGACAAAAATGTGCGATTGAAATATGTGATGCAAGATGGATGAAAATGAGTTAAATCGATGTCCAATATGAATGAGATCAATGCGCAGTATTTAACTACAACTATAAAAAATTGTGTGAAGGCTGTAATTTATAGAACATTTTTCAAATTTTCATAATGCGCAAAGAATTGGTCCAGCATGCAACTAGAAATGAGGAGTGAGTGCCCTTCATCGGCCACTTTCCAATCGACCATAAAAGCCGTAGGCTTGGCTGTTGGTCAAATGTTTTTCCTACAAGTTTAAGAACTTGAAAGTAGACTCTGTGTAAGTGTTACTTCATCACCTTGTGAAAGTCTCCACAGATCGCCGATACGAATGCTATATTACGGGGTCAACAGGTGATGTTTTAGGTGTTACGTACAAGCATGAATTGAAATAAAAATATTTAAATATCTCTGAAAATTGTAACTTTTGTGGTGAATACAGCAATAATTGACTCATTTCTGACATTTAGCAAGAAAAATTAATAAAAAATAATCTGCATGTATGCAATGAGAGGAAAACAAATCTGGCTGATGATGCTGGACATGGGAAATTGGCCTATCAAATGTGATAGGGATATTGTTGATAGTCTGTTGTGTTCATTTACCACAACTAGACATTAAGTTTCAGTTTTTAGTGCTGTTTTTTTTAAACATAAAAGATTTGTTCTAATGTCACGTGAATTATTTCCAATCGAGAGAGATACTGTCAGTTTGGGAGTTACAAAGTTGTTGATCTAGTCACACCTAGGAAAAATATAATGATTCACCACCTTATCCAGCAGGAAACGGGAATACTAGAATCCCAAATGCTAAACGACCTGTAACTGGACATACCAGTTCATGGACACAATTAGGGCGTCGACGCCGGCACACAAATTTATCGTGTTCACACCTGTAGGCCACGATGAATGGACTCGCTGCTCGGCGAGTAACGTTTGCATTAAAAGTAACGACTTATACCAACTAAATGCGACTGGCAAGTGGTTCATGTCATCTGTTAGGCGTCGTGTCAACACTTAAGGCCAAGTCTGACAACACTCTTTACTCAAAAGAAAGTTCCCTAACAAAACTGGAGTAAACACAGACGGTAAACGAAAAATACGATCGTATTTGCTTCGGCACTATTTCTTATTTGACAATGTTCATTCAGAAATTCAACAAGTTACAAAAAATACAATGGACAACGCACTAGTTTCAATTCTCACCTGCGGGACTGCAGTTCGATTTCAACACGCCGCTGGCAGGATTAATCCACGGGTGTCCTCCTAATCTGATACTCCACTGTTGATTTATCAGTGACTCGAATTACGTAGGATTATATTTTAGTTCCTCAAAGGTCGATAAAAAGCGGGCGAGTCACACCCACGACAACTAGCATACGCCCTGGTTCGCATCACTCGTTCTGTAAACACACAATTGAAAGTGGAATCAACCATTATTGGTGGGGGTAAACATTCTTTCCCGGCCTCATTTTTATTCATTCCAAGTTTGTGATTAACCTGAACAGCTTTTAAATCAACCTTTTGGTAACCCGATTTAATGTTATACGATTACTACCCGGGGGTAGCATTTATAATAACTTATCTTAATAGTCTGGCATTCGCAGCTGAGGGCCATTCTCCGCGCCAATCTATGAGCTTAGTACCGAAACCGTGTCGCACGATGGCGCTTCGATATCACTCAAATAAATATACATGTATAATGTTTCTTGTCACATATTTTCGAAAAAATGATCTAGTGATCCAGGATTTTATTTTTATTTTTTTATTGTCTGTTTTGACTGTGCTAAAAACAATAATTACGGAATATACATGAATTTACGCGTAATTTCGGTTCGAGTCACCCACAGCGGTACGAGTATGGTCGATGGTGAGGTAGTCCCGGCACCGGTGGTCTCGTCCACAGGTGGACACCAAAATGGGACGTTCCCGGGACGTACATATTCAGCCATACCTAAGGGATGCGAGTAAGAAGACAATTGAAAACAAGGTCTGCAGACATCATGATGGGCCTAACGGTTAAAAATGACCAGTCCACACATTTTATTTGTTTTTATT